ACTGCAATGGAATCCAGGAGATAAAAGCATTAAAAAGGCTACAAGTGATTTTAAGACATTAACATTTTTCTCTCATGCTACTGACTTCCGTGAGAGCTAATTTTAGTAGACTGGTATCAAAAAACTACGAAGAACTCTACTTATGGATACCATGGCAGAGGCCTTAGAAGAATTGAATAAGTGGACATCATCTCTTCTGAATGCCTACGATGTTTTTTCTGGGATTTCGTTGACAAGACAGTGGCGGATTAGAAAAAAAAGCGGATTAGTGCAAGCTGAAATACGGATGATAGGGTGCTTTCAGATAGGGTAAATAAAAGAAAAACTGTCGCCATTTCAGGGAACTATTAGTTTAAAGTTTGAGCTTCCTTTGACACAGGAGCTACATCTAAATAACAACAGGAGAGACGACCTGGTAAAGGCAGTGGCCATCCTGTCAACACCCTTGCATCTTGAATATGAATACACCCGTTAACTTGCAGTTGTTGTTCCATAAACTGGAGGTGTCGAAAACTTCTATTTGGTGTCGGTGGTGGTGGTCGTTTGGTGGCCATTTCACGATGATGTGGGGCTAATCCCAGTTACGGAACAGCTGCATTCCACCCGCTTACCCGAAGAGAATTTGGGTTTCTTTGATCAAGAAATAGTTTTTTTGAAGACATTTTACAAATGGTAGGATAGCGTTTCTGCTCGGGTCTTATTCCGATGTGGTTTTAGCAAGTAACACTTTGCCAGGTCTGCTTTTGATCATTTAATCATAACCTCAAAGGTGATAATTCAGTTAGGTGCCTCAGTGATTAAATGTCTCCAACTTCCTCCAAACTTTAGTGGGAAAAGCCATTATCTTTCATCCATTGAGAAAACACACTGTGGAGCGAGACTCATCGGTCTCCACTTCCCTATTCCTAGCGTTCTTAGACAAGCCCGATTGATTCATTTTGGATATATTTATTAGAGATGATTAGATGGAGAGGGGAGATACAACTTTCAAGAGGGAGGATAGCCGCAGTCACTAAGTACGGGAGAGGACGATCCGATCACGAGATTCGAATTTCCTGCTTGCCTCCTCCCTGAAAGGTACATTAAAACAACATAAGTATTACAGCACCATTTCCCATCTGTTGACGGGAAAAGGAAGGTAGTAACTTTGGTGGAGGGCAATTGGAATGTCCCTTCTAGCCGATCAAATTGTGAGCAGGTGATGACATTGGAGAACGATTGGAAGATATGAATTGGATCCACATGAAAGCCTAGTCTCCGCTTTTGGTCCAGAAAGCGGTTCTAGACAAGTGGGTGACCACGGAGAATATGCACAACTTAGTGCCTGTCAGAGAAAAGCGTAACGGTAGTTTACTAGCAGATGATCACGATTTGAATTTCAGCAGCATGGAGACAATAAGTAATTCACAAATCCTTTTAGATTCCCAATGATTGAATTATTTAACTTGAAGTCTAGGCAAGGGAATTACAAAATCAGGCAGACACGAATAGCCCAAATGACAAGAACGGTGTGATTTCAGGCCACAAGCCGCAGCTGGGATTAAAGAAGATTGCCCTAAGCATGCTCACCAAAGTGTCAATTTTTAGCCCAGGATGGAGAGTTGGAGGACATAGAGCGCATAACAAATCGCCCATTTCTTTGTGTGCCTGTCTGCCTTTCTCCCTTTTGAGTTCTTGTCGGATCCAGGCTACCAAACATTAGGTTGAGTAAGAGTATTACAGGAGTAAATAAACTCTTTATCCTTCTCTCAAAATGAACCAATTTTATTGAGAGACAGAGTACAGAGAAAGTGGTGGGGGGGGGGGGGAAACTTCGGCTTTGGATGGTTTTGATTTGAGATGTCATAATTTCTTAGTTAAAGCAATTAAAACGGAAAGAATTCGCTAAGTATACAAATGGAGGGCATTTCATTTTTAATGCCTCGATAGTTTGTTTAACTCTGCGTTTTGATTACGCGGGCAGTCAGGCCCTCGTGGATTTTACTTTTAATGGCCGAAATGACCTCTGGGTCATGCTAATGGCTTCGCAGCTCTACTGTACGTTGGCATTACATTTACTTTCCTCTTATTATAATTTGCTTCGACTTCATGGATGACCCGGGGTGCAATGTCGATGGCAGTGGAAAGCAATCCCAATCGTAGAGGACAAATACCCCGATTTCCATCCCTCGGCTCTAAACATAAAGGTATGTACTACAGATGGAATAGTTTGTAACGACCCTAATAGAAGGGTTGAAAATGACACGTTTTCAGGCAATTATCCCAGTCTTGTGATCTTCAGGAAAGCTATTAACAAATGAAGCAGCAATAGCCATGAACCATCTGAAAAAGTTTCCTTACGAGGCTGTCTCTGCCACCTGCATGGAGTTGTCAATGGAGTGGACACGCGACACCTCCTTCACCTCTCTGCTAACTGAATAGAACCTAGATAGATATGACTGGACAGCACTGAGAACAAAGTGGCAAGGAGGAATAGATGCAAGCTTTATCTCCCTCCTTTTAGGCTAGTGTTCAAGCAACTGACTAGTGACGAACACTCGCGATGGCTCGCACAGTTCCACTTCCTCCAATGCATTT